CACAGCATCACCCACCGGTGGCCAGCAGTTTGAGCAGCAGCCGGTCGCTGGAGTCGCCCTCGGCGTCGGCCAGCGCGCGCAGCAGCGCCGCCTGTTCGCGCGCCACCTCGGCCACCACCTCGTTCTCCTCAGAGAGCGCGTGCAGACACTGACCTGGGGACGGGGGCACCGGGGAAGTCAGTACGTTTGTCCAATTCAATTCCGCTACTCCAGTAGAGAAATACGGCAAACAAACGACCAACAATCCATAATGACAATACAGGCTAATGCGACCCACCATGAAGTTACATAAAATATTCCACAGTTGTTTCGGTATCTATTTCAACAAACATTTGTAGTCTGAACTTAAGTCTTAAGTAGTTTCTTTTTTTTTGTCGCCGGCAGTCGGCACTCGTATATCTGTGGCTTACCGACGGCGACGACCACCTCGCTGGGGTAGACAGCGAGGTCCAGACATTTCAGCATGATGCGCACCACGCCACTCTTGTTGACGGCAGCCACCGCCTTCTCACTCGACTCGCTGCCAGGGGGACATCAAAACAAAGTTCAATAAAAGCGTTGCGATATAATTTGAGCCTTGGATCATTGTTTTGGCTTACCGTCTTCAACGTGATTGCTGGCAGATCAGTAGACTCTATTGATGAGCAGGGATGAAAAGGACCCCGACAAAAGTAAAAAAGCTTGATAACTTGCCAAAACAAAAAGAATGACAAACATGTCGAATATGTCAAATATCGATTATCATCCAGAAGATGCACGATAACCCCGGACCAGTACAACAGGACTAACCGACCTTGGAAATTATACGTAAGAACAACACCCCCCACACTTACCAAAGGTTCCACAACAGGTTCGTGATTTGCACGAATATATCGGATTCTGCGTCTAACAGCACTTGTCCCTTTTCTATCTTGCGTTGTGGCTCCCAGCCATCGGAAAACTGAAATGGCAATACAGTGCCACTTGTAAATGTACCTCCCTAGGTTAAGACGAGCCTCTTCTTAACGCGAGAAAGACATGTGGATCTGATTGACGTATTGGCAAAACAATACGAAATAAGGCACATTAATCAATTATCTAATCCGCAGTCTTGTAAAAATTGAAACAAGCGAACCAAACAATAAGGAGCATCACTAAATATGAAAAGGTAGAATATTGTACGAGTACTTGTAAGTTGTAATACCTTGCGTATTTTCTTACCTTGCCGAAAGCCGTTAGGAGCGATGTGAGGATGTCCTGCTCCAGCATAAGGTCACATCCCTCCTTATCGCCCGTCAAACTGAGGTTTCTGAAACAGCAACGCAATCAAACTTGTGATGAAATGTGATAACCGATGTGCATTATCATTTAGGCGAATTATGTGTTGTGTTTGACAGCATGCGTTCACCACACAACTGATGATCCGACTACTCAAATCACGACCTCACGGACCTTCCCATCCCACCCCACCATCGTGCTCCAGCCTCCCCTCCTTCAGCCCTTCCCCACCCCTCCCATCCATCGTACCTGAGTGCGCCGGCGGCCGCCTGGCGCACATCGACACACGGGTCGACGAGCAGCGGTCCGACGAGCCGCACCAGCCGGTGCTGTCTGAGGACATCCAGCGTCAGCCGACGGGACACCAGCTGGGAGAAGGTGACGCAGCCGCTCAGACGCTCCTCGCTGGCGGCAGACTTCAGCTGGGGGAGCGGCCAGAGATAGCGGGGGTGAGAGGGGAGACCGCAGAATGGGAGGGCGAGAGATGGAGAGACGTTCAGAAAGCTGAAGGGGTTTCAAATTTCAGCGCTGTCGCAAATGTGATAGATGCAGGACAAGACGCGACAGGATTGAATGGTGAAACGTGGGAGACGTCAGGGTCGTTCCCACGTAGAAACAGTGAAGAGTGATGGCGGGTGAAATGAAACGGGCCCTGGACATCAACTCCTGTATCTACAGTGCGGGGTCCCTCGCCACCGACCGGTCACATGACCGGCTGCATCCGAGGCCTGACCTTTGGCCCCGAAAGCACATTTGACCTTCGACCTTATTATACATAATCAGCAATTTCAAATACAAAACTATTTCCACAGCAAAATTCGATAGTCGGTTCCAAGGCGCCCACAGTGGCCGGTTAGCTCAGTTGGTTAGAGCGTCGTGCTAATAACGCGAATGTCATGGGTTCGACCCCCATACTGGCCAGAGGCAATTGCTTTTCCTCACATCGGCCCATTCAAATAAGAAACCATCGAGAACGTCTCACGCTGGGGGCGAACTTCACAGGAGACCTCCCCCGCCCCGCGTACTTCAATCGACGTACCCTTTCCGTTGTTTGCCTTTTGACTTGCTTCCAATAGCGTATACGCGTCGTTTTTGACATTCGAAAATGCATGATCCAGGTAGAAGTTATCCGAGGCAGCCTTGGTTACCCACCCGATAATTCATTTTCTTCCCGATGATTATCCACCCCCAAGGAGAATCACGAGGGCAGAAATGTTTCCTAAAGCATCATCCATTCCGTGATACCTAGTCAAAATCTCGACGAGACACATCGGCAGACCACTGCAGGTGGGCTAATCAGCAAGTCAAACAGTGTTTGTAATATAGTCACGCCCATTTCACGACCAAACTAAGGTCATCCTTAGCCGTTTCCACGATACAGCTACCATCCTCAGTTGTTCCACACTATGGGAGGCTCTGTCTCACTTGTTCCACACTATGGGAGGCTCTGTCTCACCTGTTCCACACTATGGGAGGCTCTGTCTCACTTGTTCCACACTATGGGAGGCTCTGTCTCACCTGTTCCACACTATGTGAGGCTCTGTCTCACCTGTTCCACGATGTTGGCGATGCTGTCGCCGCGGGGCGCGTCGCCGCCGCCCTCTCCGTCGGCGCCGTCACCGGTCTCCTGACGGCCGGTGGGGTCGGAGCGTGCAGCACGCGCTCGCTTCGTCCTCGTCTTCCCCATCTCTCGCAGAGTGGCCAATCAGCTCAGACCATACTCAGCAACAACTGCAACAAGTAACAGGAACAGCACAGGTCACAAAACAGAGCAGAAACATTCAATTTTATCAGCTCGAATGTCTCTAGATACATTCGAGCTGATAATATAACTACAGATGTAACTACAGCTATAAAAGCAGGTTAGATACAACTACAGCTATATCTAACCTGCTTTTATGGCAGCACTGATTTGGTCAATATCACTGCATATTGTGATTTTACAATGAGGCTGTTCTGACATGTTGGAAAAAACGGAAACAACCTTAATCTAAGGGTTCCCACTAGTCACTACCCATGTCTTTTTGGAAGATGCTCTTGTATTTTTACATTTATCAGTTATCACAAAGACACATAGGTTCACAATGAATGACAACCAATCAATGTTAGAGACAATTCAAGTGGAATGGACAAGCAACCAGCTTGTTTGAGCCAAAATTGGCCATCCAGGAGGCAGCTACTGCACTTAGCCCAGCTGTCTCCAACAGGTGGAACTTGCATGCAGATTCACAATATTACTTAATTTCCCCCAATAATTGGTCAATGTGTTGAAATACTTTGTATGGTAGGATATTGCAACACTGATCACATAAATCAAATTGATTCAGATTGCTTGAAAGGGTAGGTAGGTTGGTACCAATTTAAAAACCAATACCTATGGGAAATACTTCAGGGCACTATTCAATGACCCTTCTTTCATCAACAGACTGCCAGCCTGCTGGCTACGGAGCGAGCGTACCTAGTCTTTCCCATATAACGGAAAAATCTCAGTACCTATGAGCGGCCTGGCGCAGCCCAGCCTGTAACGCTTTTGCGAGGCTTATATCTCAGCAACCACTTGACTGATTTACATGCGGTAATTTTTTAGGGTAGCTTCATTCCTTCTTCCAAGTATTTGACTACTATCGATGCTTGTGGGTGAAGTCTTATGCACGTGCCACGTGAAAAACGAAGAGGTGTCAGTTTTGTAAAAGTTGCAATATCTTGGTAACTACTGGGCCGATTGCTCTGAAAGTTGGCATGTAGGTTGGCACCCACTAGGCAGTGCATATCCATATGCCACAGTTGGGGTGCTGCTGCACGGGCGCACGTGCAGGGGTCGATTCCAGATCTCGAGAACGGCTGAACCAATTGCGCTGAAATTTGGTACATGGTTAGGGACCGGTTAGTAGTGTCAAGTGTGCCATGCAAAAGTCAGTTGGGATCCATTTAACACGTGCGCAGCCGCACGTGCAGGGTGTCGCTTCCAGATCCTGAGAACGGCTAGGCTGATTGCGCTCAAATTTGGCATATTACTAGAGACCGGTTAAAAGGGTGCAGTGCACAAGTCAGTCAGAGGTACCCCCTCACAATTTTGCACGTGCAAGGCTCACCCACTCGCTCACTCCGTTTGTCGTCCTATAAGGCGTTTTACTGGTATTTCTAATTCTAGGCTTCTTAATCTCATTGTTGTGGGTCATATCAATATTCATGTCAATGTGGTCCCGATGTGCAATCGACCAATGTAGAGGTAGTCGTAAAGCAGGCATCACTTATTTTTTGCAACCAAGGAGGGGCGCTAAACCCAGAGATGCTTTCTAATGAAATCAAACCAAACCTAACAAAACCTGACCTAACCTTACCTCTTGAAATATACCTACTCCCTACTTCCACCGCGGATTCCGTCCAAAGAGAACCAAAACGGCTAACATAAAAAATCATCAAAACACGCACGTTTGCGTTGGTCCCAAATGCGTGACAATTGTATCAAAGCATTGCAGCCACTTAGCGCTCTAGCTGAGATATGGCAGCATTTTACCTTCATAAGCAAAGTACTTTTTTCCCATTCTTATTTTACTTACGTCAAATTATCTATAAATTTTGGAAAAGTTTGTGAGTTTATTTTTATTAAGAAACTTTGTTTTTAAATTTTATTGTCAAAATACGTTTCTATTACCTTCAAAATAATGTCACAAAAAAAACAACTAATAATTATAATTGACGTCATCAAACTGAACTTAGCCGGTAAGAATCGTACATCCAATGTTGATGTGGAAGTGGAGAACAATGGTATCTTATGGAGAACCGCAAGAAAAGCAGTCGAGGGCGGAGGAGGCTGTGGTTGGTTGTGTTTTGGGTTGTCTCATGCCGAATTTTGGATGAAGCAACGACAGTGAATTGGTGGTCTTATGCAAGGCAGTATATAGGGTCTTATGTCTTGATTCGGGACTCGGTTGTTGGGCGTGCGCTGTCTCGATCAAATAATACCGCGGAAGAAGACCGGATCTGTGCAGGTGTGTTGCATGTCATTTTCATACATTTATTTCATTTTTAGTATATTCAGGGTAGTTCTCATCAACCAATGACATTAAAAAAGTGATAAATAATTTTTGATGCAGGTGGTTTGTTGTTTGTAATGCTACAATTGGTCAAACCAGACTTTTGCTTTTACAGGCGGCTGAGACTCTTGAAAATTGTAAAACTCGACACTCAGTATTGTGATCTTTGACACAATGCTCACTTTGTTGGCAGGACTTTGGCTAGTAGTTGGACACCAGGAGTGAACTACTGCTTGAATTCATCGATTGTGCCACAGCTTTTCAGCATGTTTGCATTTCTGACATCAAGAAGAAAGCGTTCTATATTTTACAAAGTATTCTGTGTTATCATTGTCTTATCCTGTTTCTTGCTATGGAGAAGAAAAGGTGCTCTCAGAAGTGGGGGGACTCAGAGTGTTGCAGATCAGTTAGGTGACTTCTCAGCAAAGCATAGAGCAGGACTGAGTCAAAACAGGCGAAGCGAAAGATCTGAGGACATGCCAAACTTTAATGCCATTGACAATGATGCTTTGCCGGTGAAAAGTATACCCAACTATGATGTTATCGGAATGCAACAGTCTGAGGATCGACTAAGAAATGAAGTAGATGACATGAGGAATGCCTTTGGAATATCGCAACACAAGGGCCTGGAACAGTACGACAGTGAGATTGACAGTGACCTCAGGAAAATTGTGCCAGGTAAGAAACAACATTTACTGCCTGCTGTCTTTTTGGAGGTTAGTGTTACACAAATGTTTTCTATAGAGATATGGGATAGTGCTTACTTGTGCCTGATCGATTGTTGATAAGATGAAAGATACAATTACTGTAAAGCGCTAATAAGTGCCCAACTTCATATCACCCATGCCGAGTTGATTATAACCGCCCCACCTTCCCGGCCAGGTCTGGGCGCCGGTGGAGAGCCCGCCCACCTCTCGGGGGACGAGGACGCTCTCGCCCAGCAGCTGATGAAGAAGGAGGCCTTCAACATCCTGCTCAGCAACAAAATCTCGCCGAACCGCACCGTGCCGGACGCCAGGAGCCGGCTGTGAGTGGCCGCGGACAGGCTCCTAACGTAGCGATATATGGTGCCCTGGTATGCTGGATATGTTACGGTACCACATCGTTGTCATTTTTTATGAACGCTAGGATTATAGTAAGGCAGTTTTGCAAGACAATGTTAATTACTATCAAGTGCTCGCGCTGTCATGCTCGTCCAACGACCAATTTCTTCTATAAGTTAACCACCCGATTTCATGATTTAGGTATTGAAATGACTGACCCGGCAATGAATTTTAACATTTTTTTCCAGCATCTTACCCTTTCGACTCGTTCCAAAAAGCACTAGCGCACTGACGGTTTCGGTGCGCACCCGCCGTCCGGTGACCCTGTCCACTGTGCGGCGTGGACAGCTGACACCGACCCCCGCCGCAGGTGCCTGAGTCGGACCCACGACTTCGACCTGCCCACGGCGGACGTCATCATCATCTTCACCAACGAGGCCTTCTCGTCGCTGGTTCGCACCATCCACAGCGTGATTAACCGGACGCCGGCGCGGCTGCTGCAGCAGATCATCCTAGTGGACGACTTTAGCGACAGAGGTCAGTCACGGACGGGGCTGAGAGGGGCCGCACGACACCCCTGTGATCAGCAGAGGAGTAGTGTGTGACGCCTGACGGTATGTGTGGATGGTCTGTGATACAGCTCAAGTAATGCCACATTATGTTTCCTGATCGGCCTAGACCAGCCGACTCATGCGGGACTATGCTTATTGTTAATAGACCAGGTGAATGGAGCAACGTCGGCCATGCCAACATTTCCGCGCACAGGACATGCTTAGTCGTTCTGCTCTCGGTTTATGCCGAAAAAAGCCGTCTGAGGGGGATAGGTCCACCCACGCCCGCTCCTATGGCGTGACTCGCGCAGCAGCTGGGCGCACCGGAGCGCAGCCGGGCGCGACAGCCAGCCTCAGCGCGTGACGCGAGCGACCCAGGTTATGCACCTGACGGCTCACCGGTGCTCAGCGCGACCATGACTTTTTGCGTCATTTTTCTGCCTAAAAACGGGTAGAACAGGAGCGTTGTTGTCTGAAACGATCGTTAATCGTTGTGACGCCTTTACCGTCTGTGCTGGACAGATATCCGCGTCAGTAAAAAACGTTTCGGTGCGCGATTTATGGCTATCCGCTGGTCGCCTGGGCAACCTGTTTTTGTACCGCTCCCTTCCGTGTTTTTGTTGTCGAATGCCAGTTGGGACCGTCTAAGCAGTCGGTGCACCCCTATTCCCCAACAAACAACAACAAACAAAGGACCGTCCGACTGGACGTCGGGTCACCCCGTCTGCAGCCATTGAGCGGCGAGCGTGGAGGAACAGCGACGTCCGATCTGTTAGAGTTGGCGATAACTGGCTGACTGGCTTCGGAATGCTGTCCCAAAACATGACATGTTGTTTTCTGATAGCCAAGAAAGTGGGCTAGCGAAGCATTTTATAATCGCTTGAGTCTGACAAATTTATCGGCCATCTTCCGTGACGATGGCATCACTGACGCGATAGCGATGTTGAAGGACGGCATACTGGTCCCAGACTATCGTCAAAGGAAACAGTGACCACCAGAGCGGCTTGGAACGGGCTCTCACTGTACCCTGTCGGCACGGAGTCACCGGACGACATCGCAACTGAGCTGTCCCGGGTATACTATTCTCGCACGATTATTTGCAATACAAAACCAGACCAGCCAAAAGATTATAAACACCTTCCGTCTTAACGCCGCGCATGTCGCTAATAATGGTTTTCTTGGTGGACGACCGGGCAATATTGCTATAATTCATATTTGTCTTTCAAGATCACTTTTTGCTTCTTAGGTCACTGGCTTTATTTCTTTGGCATCAAAGCTGTCAATAACTATAATTATCACAGGCTCCTCAATATTAGAGGCTATATGTAATACATATTTATGTTTAAAACACCCCGATTTATTTGGTTCCTCGAATAGCACGTGGTCCGCCGCCGTCCGTCCGCCCGGTGACCGGGTTATCTGTCGGCACGAAATGTCACGGCGGCGCCGGCTCCGGCCGGGGTGACGTCCCCACCTGACCTTGGCGGCGGCTGGGCGGTCCGTCCGGCCGCTGCTCGCCGGAACGCGGATCAGAAATGTCAGTGGAACAGTCCGGGCAGCCCCAATCATCTGACCGCGGCTCGAGACGCGGTCAGGGGTGGCCCGCAGAATGTGGGATAGTTGGTGGGGCGGGGATTTTACGAGGTCGAGTCAGCTGGTCTGCCGGATGTTTGGCCGACGGGTGTTTTATCGAAGGTGAGGCGAACACGGTAGAATCAGCAAGAGCTGGTCGAGGTGCCGGCTTTCTGGCATAGAGCCGTTCGAGTTGCCGGTTTCCCCAACACTCGGGCCGCTAGTCTCATTCTTTCACTCCTCGTGGCACCGATTGGCGGGCGATACGCGGCGGGTGGTCGCTCTAAAAATCGACCTAACGCCGTCGGCGGGCGCTCCATCACACCAGCCTGCTGCGGGGTTAATGAGCGATTATTCCCTGGTGGGATGACAGCTCGTAGGCCATTGTTGCGCCGCCCAGCCACCATGCGGCGCCAAACCCACCGGGCTGTGGGGACGGCAGTCAGGGATGACAGCGGCTGCCGAGCCGGCAGTGCCGCGCCGGTGCGCCGCCGCCGTGGGCGCCCAGGCCGCGGTCAGTCACGATGATGGGACTGGTGCCGGTCGGCTGCGCCCGCTGGCCTAGTAAAGACGCCGCCGAGGGGAGGATTGTAGGGCGGCGGCCTGCGCTGCAGCGGAGGGCTTTTAGCACGCTGATGGACGATCAGCGTCTCGGTCTGCAGTGTGCAGAGTGCAGCTGGATGCGGGTGGGGCCAATAACTGGGATGCTACCCTCGTCCTTTTGCGGTTTGCCACCCGCCACTGCAGTCTCTAACGGTCGTGTATCGCTGACATCTCGCTGGACCGTGTCCGCCGTGAGTGGTGTTTTCCAAGGTCCATTGGTTACAGTGCCGGTGACTCGCCGCAAGGCGCATATGTTGACTGGCCAATCTTATTTGATACTAAGCTGGCCCGGGTACTGGTCGCTCCAGCACTGCATACCCGCGGCCGCGTACCACCGTTTTCAACCCGCGGTGCCCTTTCAAAGTCTCAGTCTTGGGTGTTGAGTCCCCTGCTTGGTGCTGGTTCTGTTGCTGTCGCCGTGTTCATGAACTATTGTGGGGCGTTCCCGTGCCGTCGCTGAGTTCCCGTGCCGGCGGCGGCCGCGCGGGACGGCGTCTGACCGCTGCCGGTCGACACGCCGATCCTCCCACGGTGGGGCACGCGTCAGCTCCGACCCGCGGCGGCGGCACCGTTACTGGTCTGCGTGGAGACTGGACTGAGCCGACCTGTAGACGGTGGGCTCGATCAGCTGACGAGGTGTCACCAAAGGACGACAGCTGAGAACATAGGCGACGAGTATGCCTGGGACCTCGAGGGTAGACAGCTTCCGATTCCGGCTTCAGCCTGAACAGGTGGCTGAGCCGATCAACCAGTTGAGCAAACAGCAGCGTTCGGGGTACGCCGTGCCGTCGCCTGCTGGTCGTTGTTTGGGCTGAACCACGTGGGTTCCGGAGGCTTACTAAACCTTGACCCCACGATTGGACTCCAAGTCTGCATGCCGGTTCCACGACTAAACCCGACTAAGTCGCATAACCTCCGAGTCGCTGAGGCTCAGATAACTTGTTTTGGGCCGCTGCCACTCATTCCTAGCTGAGTCGTATCTTCTGGATTCCTCCGCTGAGCCTGTCTGAGTTGTCCGGGGCGCTGCGGCTGACCCCGCGGTACCGGCGCCGGCAGAGCCGCCCGGCCTGCCGGTCCGCGGTGACTGGAGTGCCGCCGTCCGAGTGACGTCACCGCGAAGGTCGCCGGGCACCGAGCGACTCTGCCCTCTCGCCTCTCCACCCCCTCACCGCGGGGAGACGGGGAACCGGTCAGGGCCGCCGTCACCTCTGCCTTCCCTTTCTCCGGCGCACCACCTCCCCATGTGGCCGACCGCTTTCTCCAACAACGCCATCAGTCTCCGTAAAAATAATGGATCCAGCGAGGACAGGCCGAGTTTGCCAGCGTTTCGCCGACTCACGTAGTTAGTTGGCCGGACCGCCGCTGTGGGCTCCCGTTCCCGTCTCTTTGTTTCTGTTCCTCCCGGCCCGACCTGCGCTCAGTGGTTGGCCGCTCGCTCTGTTGACACTGCCGGCCTTTGCGGACGGCTGTGCCGACGGCGCGGCCGCCGGCGGGCTGTTTCCGTTCTGGCTGGCGACTCCGGTCACCGTTATAGTTTACCGTCGGCCTCCCAGCTGCTGATGTTGGTATAGGTACAGTCATTAGTTGGAGTTTGGACAGACTGGTTCGATGGTACGGTATGATTCTGGTTTGGATTGGCGGAGGAGCGATTTGGGGTCAGGAGAACTAATATTGACTCTCAAGTTCCCATTTTGTTTCACTTCCCTGTGCATTTCAGCCCAGGGAGCCTGGTTCTCCCCTTACCATCGACTATTGTATGATGTGGCGACATTTGGTTGGTGGGTATTGGTATTGACCGTCGGCAGTGGCCAGCTTCGCCGCTCCCGGTCGGTGACTGCCGGAGCTCAGCACAGCACATTATCCGCTGCCGGCTGATCCTCTCTGACGCAGCTGGTCCCGAGTGGAGCCGCACCCGGTCCGCTGATCCTGGCACACCGGTGGGCTAGGTTGGTGCCGGACCGGTCAGTGTCGGACCGCTGGTGTCGGGTCGGTGACTGCTGCTGTCGGCAGGACCAGTATGGGATCGGTGTCGGGTCGGGCCAGCTCCGTGTTCTACGGGAGAAAAGGCGGCAGGCCGGCTCACTACCGGGTCATTAGTTATTTCACACAGGTTTTTGACGGGCCCACATGCCGTATGTAAATGAATCCTCTCTCCCGCCGCTGATGCTCCGCCGTCGTGTGACGTCTCTGGCCGGCGGTGTCTGTCTACTGATAGCAGCCCGGTTATGTGCGCCTGCCGACGGCCCGGCGCGGCCAGGCTGGCTGCGTGCCGGCGCCGCGCTGATTCCCTCCCGGCCGGCCGGCCCGCGGTATGGGCAGCTACTGATCTGGAGCGGCGGCCGCCCGGCTCGTCTGCATAACAAAGCAAACCCGGCGGGCGGATGGGGCTCCTCACTGAGAGGAGGCGCTGGGACTGCTGAATACTGGACAGAGAGATGACATGCCTGATATCGTCTCACACGTCCCTACAGCGTATAAAACTCGCCTGTGGTGTGTATGGGAGTCGGTGTTGGTTCTATTCACGTCCCTATTGTGTGAGTTTGCCAACGGCCAGAGAGCCGTAACGCGCTGAGCCGCACTGTGCACTGTGCAGTGTGCAGACAAAGTGCACCGTCACGCCACGGTGCGTGTGACACCGTGTTTCGCTCTGTGACGTGTCGTGACGGATGGCACAATGTGACGGGGTGGTCACCATTTATTTCCCTGTGACGGTGTGCTTGTGCTTAGCGTATCGGCAGTTGAGCGTCCTTAATAGCCTTAGACCTATATTGCTTAGCGATGTGTGTTGTGTATCGACCACCTTCCTTACACAGCCGATCGCCTGTGCCGCGCTCCGCCCGTCCCACTGTAGGTACCGGTACCGGTGCAACTGCCGTCACCGCTCGTCCCGCCCGGCCCTGCCTACCGCTGCCTACCGCTGCCTACCCACCATCGCCGCCGCCGTGACGACTGCGTGACGCTGTCGAGCGGAACGGAGCACGTGACGCAGGCGGCCCGTGACGGCCGGCGCCGCGTCGCGACACCGTTCGGCGCGCGTCATGGCCCGGCCGGTGTCTGCACGAGCGGGGACGGTGGATAGGAGAGGAGCTCGGTGGATAGGAGAGCAGAGGTGGCACAAAGTGATCTTCGGTGGCACGTGTCGTGCTGCGGTGGGAGGGAGGGTGACTCGGAGAGGGGGCGCCTGCTACCTGCAACACGCGCACAGACCGTTCGCGTCTACATATAGATGCTGGCACGAACGGCTGGTTTTTTGACAACGCATCGCATGCTAGGTAGCTGGATATCAGGTGGTCATGGCGAGGCGATCAACTCATGGCTGATGCGGCTAATCATAAGCATATATATGGGAAGCAAAAAAAAATCATGAACCTAACTTGAAGAAAGCTTGTGAGCGTAATTTTACGCGAGCTATTCGCTGCTCTTCGCGACCATGAATAATAAGCTCACAGGGCGGAGCAGAAACGGACCCGGGATTGGCACTCGCTGAGCGTTCTGTCTGCCTTTCCGCTGGAATTGCGATTCTCGCCATCAGTCAAGCGTGAATCCAAGGTCTCGCCTTCTACCGCGTCCTCTGGGATCTGTACGTCCGTCCTGTGTCATCACAAATACGAGGTTTTGGGCAGCGACTGCCCATCCGTAGCACAAAGCGAAACTGAACCGACTCAATTTCCAACTGTTCTGGGGTTTTGCATGGCTGACCTAACGGGTGAACTTGCCCTGGTGTGCCCGTCCATCTCAGCTCATCATCACCGTGACTTACCCCATGTCTGTCGGTACATCATTACAGCGCCCATCGCACCGCTATCCGTCGCTGTCCTCCCACTCTCACCCCCTGTCTCACCCCGTTCTCACCCCCTTTCTCCCCTCATTTTCCAGTGGAGCTCGGGGGTAAGCTGGAGCGGTACATCGAGCGTTTCTTCAACTCAGGCCGCCAGCTGGTGACGCTGATCCGACTGAAGGCTCGCTCGGGTCTGATCCGCGCCCGGCTGGCCGGCGCTCACGCCGCCACCGGCGACGTACTGGTGTTCCTGGACTCGCACTGCGAGTGTGGTCTCGACTGGTCAGTAATTAGGGGGGGACTGGTCAGTGGCGGGGGGGGGGACTGGTCAGTGATCATTGGTCACTTGGTCAGTGGCTGGACGAAAGTCTGGTTAGTAGGGGGAAGCACTAGTCACTGGTCGGCGTTTGATACAGAAGGCGGGAATTTGCTTTTAGCCAGCAATACTGTGGAATTTACTGTGCTGGATCGGCGTAATTTATTGATGAACAGACATTGCGGTGCAGGTTTTGGCTTTTGTTCGGCATGAACTCCATGGTTCATTCCGTTTTACTGCAGTTGTTCTATAATTCATTTCTGGGAAATGATTGGACGGGAATGAATTTTTAAAAGCTGCTGAAATTAAGTCGCTTATGTAACCTGTACCGCAGTTACCTAGTTCATTCCGATGTTTCCAGGCAACAGACATATACTCGTTAAACCAGTGTGGCCAGTTCGATTCAGTGACCTTTGCCATGTGACCCCTGACGATGTGTATTCTGTAGGATGGAGCCACTGCTGCAGCGGATCAAAGAAGACCGCACCGCCGTCCTCACACCCATCATTGACGTCATCGACGACAAAACGCTGCAGTACTACAACTCCAACGGGGATTTCTTCCAGGTAATTACAGTCCACTGTCCACTGTGCGCCGGTCCGTGCGGTGGTGTGTGCGATCTTCCTGTTATGAAAGTCAAAGTAGGCAAGGTGTCACATTTTCTGCCACATATTTCGCTCGCTGCATAAGGTCGATATGTCTAATGCACTTTGCGGCACGCTCGTCGTTGCCGAGGGCGCTATAATATCCCACTGTGACTCATAAATATGACACAGTGCGACGACGCAGCGTATCGCGAACTATAGAAGGAAACATGTATGCCCCGCAATATCGTATAAACGACACGGTCTAATTTCAATCGCATCGGCTGAGGGAAACCTCACCGCCCAGGAAAAGCCATGCTGTATTGAAAACCTTCGGCACCAAAACCACTGCGCTGTCAAGTGAACGTTCAGTGCTGAAGGGTCCATCGCTTTGTCGTTTGGGTCCTTTACTTGCCATTCGGTTATCTCGCTACAAAGTCTCATCAGCCAGGGTCCCTCCCAGCGCTATACATAGTTGGACTCGGGACGTCTCAGCGCGTCGTGCTCGTGACCCGGCGCCCCGGCGGGTCGCTCGCTCGGGCCGCTCGTCACTGAGCCGTTAGTCACACCCCGTGGTCGCCGTTCCCCGTCACCGGCCGGGGCGGACGGCGCCGGGCAGGGAGGCCGTAACTCAGTCAGGGTGACACGCAGGCGGGCAGCAGTACCGGGCTGGTATCGAGCCACAGAGCTGTGACATGGCATGACATAGTCTGACACAGCCTGACACAGACGATGCAGCCTGACACACCGACACACTGACACAGCATAACACATACGACACAATTCTGAGACACCGACACAGTCTGAAACAGCGACACGGCCTGATACACCGACACACTGGCATAGCATGACACATACGACACGGTCTGACATTGACACAGTCTAACATTGACACAGTCTGACACGTTGACACTCCAATCCGACACACGTCCTGTTCGGTGGTCCTGTTCCGCCCTGTCCGATACGGGGGTACCGGCCAGGTATCGAGCCACCCCATTGATCTGCAGTGGAGCGGCTCCACTAAGTGTGATGAGCAGTATCGGTCTATTGAGCGGCCGGCGGGCGGTGGGAGGAGTCGGAAAGGGGTTGGGCGTGAACAGGGTCTGAAGCAGATTCTCTAGCTGATGTGCCGTGTCTGCTGTGTCTTATGAATTGGAGTTGGCTGGATCTGGTTACCTCATGTTTTTACCTCACGGGCTACAGAACAATGTTAGGAATATGCTCGCTCAGTGTCGAACTCGTTTGTAATGAGCATTGTGACAAGCATGCCGCTTTTGTCTATTGTGCTCGGCTTTCTCATGAAAGCTCACAGTGAAGTATTTATTGACCATTCCGCAGTCACGATCAAGTCTTGCAATACTGTCTCCGAGAAAATCTGCATTAATTCGGCTCAAATGTCAACGACACCCAGGAACCTGTTGTTTCGGATGAATGGTTACCCTACGTATCGCGCTTTACCTGACTGAACTGTGCGTTTGTTTCAGGTGGGCGGCTTCACGTGGAGCGGTCACTTTACGTGGATCGACGTACCGGCCTGGGAGCTGGAGAGGAGAGGCACTGCCGCCGACCCCACACGGTCAGTGACACAGGGGGCCGCACCTGACACTAACATGCCCGTAGGGGTACCTCAGGTAACTAGGGAGAGGAGAGGCACTGCCGCCGACCCCACACGGTCAGTGACACAGGGGAACTGCACCCACGAGAGGGTGGAGAGATTAGAGAGGGGAAGAGAGACCGCTTTATTCACACCCATGGCCATGACCACACACCCTAATACTTCTCTATTCATACCCATTTCCACACACCCTTGGGAGGCCCGGCCAGCCGCATGAGGTCCAGTTCACCAACTGCCGTGCTCTGTGACCACGCCTCAAACCCCACCGCGGTCCACGACCGTCTCTAACATTGAACTACCTCCTACCATTATCTCACTCACGCACACCGATGACCCGGCCAGATAACCCGTTCTGCGGGCCCAGCCCCGCTGACTGCCCTGCACCTCACGGCGCCCGGTCACAGCCGAGTCACTCCCTACCGGTGAGACTGCCAGCCCGTTATTCACGGCCCGGTTACCGTCTGAGATACGGTCAGAGCGCGTGGTAGGGCGCTCTGATTTCCTCGCAGGCAGTCTGCACAGCTTGTCTGTGTGGCGGGGTGGGAGGGGGGAGGGGTGGCTGCTCTGGAGCAGACGGTTACGGCAGAGATAGCGAGAGGTCAGCGCGATAGTGACCTCAGACGGGATGTGTGACCCGCCCCGCCCCTCCCGACTGACCCTGCTCACGAACTGGATGAACGGTAACGGGGTCACCCCACGGATAGAGACAGAATGGAAGGGGAGAGAAGCTCTATAAGTGCGGTGGGCGAAGTGTTGTTGGTGTGATGAAAGGAAACGCCACCGTGGATAAACAGAACGACACACAATACAAATCCACAAGCGGCTTTAAACCACGAGGCTTCAGAATACAACCCCGCGATCCGCTTTAGACCCCAGGAATGCCGGGAATCCCGGGGCGGGGCCGGACGGGCGGGGCGGGGCTGACGCCTGACGGGATGTGCCCCTGAGTGGAGCGGGTGGGGGGGGGGGGGGAGGGACGGACACAGTCGGCGGGAGGGGTGAAAGCGGGCCGGTGGGTGCGGCCGGCTGCAACTGACGGCGGCTGCTCACCGCGTGCCGATACTCGTCTGCACCGACGTCCATTGTCTGCTGATTACCACCTGCTGATGGCTGAGCGGACCCAGCTGGTTACTATCTGCCTAGCCAGTCAGACTGTGTGCTGATATAGTTTTTCGATCCCTGTCTTCATTTCACTGAGAGCGAGAGTTAACCGACTAGTGCAGTCTGTGGAGGTAGACCGGGACCTGGCCTCTGAGTGATACTCGTCCGGACAGGTTTGAAATAGTAACCTGATAATAATCACGGTATGCCGGACCTAAGCCGCCACGTGAAACCCGAACCAATCCGCTGTGACATGTGGTGTCAACAGTGGCGGCATTCTGTCTGTTTTGTACGTGGTTTGTTGTTGAAGCTGCCTGTTGGTGACTTGTGGCGAATTTATTGGATTTGTTGTTGCTAACGGTCTCTGAGCCGCAGCGCAGCGTCCTCCCAGTGATACCCCTCCGTGCCGTCTAAGACGGCCGTCACGACTGCCGACCCCACGGCCGGCCGCCGTGACTGGCGCTTCGTGAGCGGTGTCGGTGCCACGAACACCGGGGTGTGGCGGGCACCGGGCTCACCTCCAGCTGGGAGTTCAGCCGCTCGATTAGGGACTCAACCCGTGGAACGTTTCATCATAATCTTCTGACGGACTCTAATGCGCCGGGCTATCTGCTGCTAGCTCCGGTCATGCTGAGAGCTTTCATCTACATATTTGCTCCATCTGGGTCAGTGATGATACAACAGGTGCTGGACGAAGACCCGGGGCTGTGGCGGGGAGCTCGGCCTTACTGGTCCATCTCTATGGGCGGTCCGGCCAGAAGAATACAACAGCTGCAGTTAAAGCAGACTTACGAGGCGACCTAGGAGCAACATGGGAGCTCGGAATCGCACAATATCGCTGGAAATGACGCCTAACTCGGTGGAATTGACATTGAACTCCGTCGAAATGACGCCAACATCAGTGGAAATGGCAGCGACAGCAGTGGGAATGACAGTCGGAGGGTTCGGTTGTCTGAGCCGTTCGGTTTGACCGCCCGTGGACGCTGTCGCTGCCGCCTTTCAATTCGTGCTTTATACTCGCTCGTTGCCCCGTCAGTACCCCCTGTTATGGACGTAATATAAAGGAGCGCCCAGTACTCGGTGGCTGTGTATTTGTGTAATGCGTATTGGAGGCAGGGCGATTGTGTGTGGCTGGCGCGGACCGATACCCCGTCAAATGTCATGTTTTAATGGTGGCGGTAGCAACAGGGGACCTGCAGCGTTTGCACTGCTGCCAGCCGGACGTATGGGGCTGCCGCAGGGTAAATGCCAGAATCTGTCAGTTGCTATATACACAGGGCATGGCTTGTGTTTGCCAAGTGCTGTGACATTTTCATTGTGGTGGTGTTGGACGCATGAATAAGTGATGATCCGTTTTAGAACTGTCAACTGTATGATTTGTAAGGTTGAAAGTGGACATTTCGAATGAAACGGCCCAGTTTTAGCGTGCAAATCGCACGAATCCTATGTGGAAGCTCTCTGAATTATAAATGCACGAATCACTGTGTGAGCACCTGTATGTACAATTGCAAGTCTGGCGGCAGTTGCAGGAAAATCCACACTGCACACTGCACAGTCCGAAATCCACCAAAAATGTCACGGTGTCCTGCTTTCCACTACCGAGTCATCGTTCGACCTGATAATACTGCTGGCGAAACTTGCCTTGACCCTAACATTGCCCCCGGGTATCACGTTATGACCCGTAATGCCCGCTACTACACCTTGCCGTGACCTTTTCCGCGCCGTGGGCGACGGTGCCGTGACCTGTAATGATCGGGCGCTCGGCACGCGACCCGCGTCGTTTGTCGGTGCGTCTGAGCGGCCGTCTGTCGCCCCGAGGCGGAGTCCGACCGCCGGCTGATGGTGGTCCGACACGCTATTTAGGACCGAGGGAGGGGCGAGTGGGAAGGGCAGGAAGAGTGTCGGTCAACCCTGGAGCACTGCGGCGATGCAGGGCTATGTGTTTGTCAGGTAGGTGTGTTCAAGTGGAAGAGAAGTTTTGCCCCGACAGATGTTCCGTGCTCCCCGGTGTTTACAGCTTACACAGCTGTGACGGCCGCCATCGGACGGTCGCTCACCGCAGTCAGCCGTCCAGCCGGCGTCGTTTTTGTCGCCGAGTCACTGACGAGTTACCGACCGGCTGGGACGGGCGCCGGTATTTCTAACGGCGTGCCAATGGCCGCGTGTGAGGGGCCGCCGCGGCAGACGGATAATCCCGGCCCGTCCGCCGCGCTGCAGACTTGTCTAGCCATCGATCGTAGAGGCGACATTTCGCTATCGCTCCCGCGTGACTAGGCTCGTTTTCGCGTATCCAGTGAGGCGTCGCCGCTAAGTGGATGACAGTAACCGACTCGTTGGGGGGACATCGTCGCCGCCGTCGCCGCCGCGGGCGCGGGAGCGACGGCCGCTGGCGACGGGCGACTGTGAGAAGCCCGCCGTTCACCAACAGAATATGGGAAGACACGCGATCGAAATGTGGCGACCATCGCCGATTTGGCCAGCCCGTGTGACGACAGGCTCCGTCCCGCCGGCTAGAAATTATCACAGCGTTCAGCAGGAGTTCAGTAATGTGGCCATCGGCAGTCGGATCCATTCCAACGGCTTCGATCGCAGCGTGCGGCAGAAGCCTTTCAATCTCATAAGTATTTATGAGATTAGAATGGGCCCCAGCACTCAGCAGCTGGCTCGCGTGATATACTGAATGGCGCTGTTATGGGCTGTGTCACCGCGTGTGCCGGTGTCAGCGGGTCAAACGACTGACATTGACGCTGACACTGTGGGTAGCTGAATCGGCGGATGCTGCTGCAAACGGTGAACATTCGTCGTACCCCGCTCAGTGGGACGTTGGGCGTTTCCCGGCGCCTCTTGCACATGGTGCGTCGTTTGCTGGCGGTCTGCACTGCCCTGTCTGACCGACATTCACAGCCCTGTATTTATACATATGACACAACGCCGGACTGACCTCTGGTGAAAGCCTCGCTGACCACTGCCCGGCAGTGTGCCCCTGTAGTCACAGACTGGTCTGTTGATGCCTGCCAGCGATGGTGTAAGCTCGATGACTGTGTGCATTCTGGTTTAGATGTTGTGGAGGTCCGGCGATGACTGCTCTCTTGCATCTTATCTGTGGTGGTTGTGTAAACCCTCTTGTTCACTTGACTTTCTGCTCGTTCCCTTTCTAATCACGGGCCTTTCCACCCCGTAGGCTGCTGTTGTAGCAGGCTCATGGAGGAACAGATATTATTTGTATCTCGTGACGAATAACCACTAATGATTGTGATCTTTTGACCTCTCTAATTTGCACGATCCCAGGCCAACTGCCCCATCGGATGGACTTTCAGAGCACGAAACCTGCCAAGTCGTTACCTTTCAGTTCCTATCCGATCGCATGTCATGAACTGCAAGCTCCTGAATTACTGATGATTTGTGATGTTATTACCCCGGCTTCAAATGGCTGACCTTTTATTTGACTGACCTTTGATATGACCTGAATATGATAGTGATGGGTGACCTCGGACGGTTGACCGTTTATTATTTGGTCTTATCTTTGTCCTTTGACTCGTCCCCTCTGATCTCTGGCTGTTGACTTCCGACGGTTAATATGGCGTGTGACCTGCCGTGTGGCCTGCCGCGTGACCTGTCATATCACCTGACGCCTTCCTCCCGCCCGCAGGTCACCGACGATGGCCGGCGGCCTGTTCGCCATCGACCGGCAGTACTTCTGGGAGTCGGGCAGCTACGACGAGGGCATGGATGTCTGGGGAGGCGAGAACCTCGAGATGTCCTTCAGGGTCAGTGACACCTCTGCTATAATAGACTTCTAGGCAGGCGAGAACATGGAGATAATGAGAGAGAACCTCGAGTGACGCCCACCGAGGCAGCGCCTCTGATCTGGTGTCATTTCTAATCTGTGAGCTGTATATTGATCTGTGAACTAATCCGTGTCTCTCCCCTTCTCGTGCAGATATGGATGTGCGGCGGTAAGATCGAGACGATCCCGTGCTCTCGTGTGGGCCACATTTTCCGCGACTTTCACCCGTACACGTTCCCTGGTAACAAGGACACGCACGGCATCAACACGGCCCGACTGGCAGAGGTGTGGATGGACGACTACAAGCGGCTCTTCTACCTCAACCGGCCCGATCTGCAGGTATGAGGGGGGAGGGGGTGCTGTTCTTCTACCTGAACCGGCCAGACCTGCAGGTATAGGGGGAGGGGAGGGGTCAGTGGAGGGGGTAGCTATTCCTACCTGAACCTGTCCGACCTACAGGTTTGTGGGGGAGAGGAAGGGTGCCTTTTGACGTTTAGCGGTGCAGAGCACGACATCTAGTTTAAAATGTTGCGACAGCCTGTGAGCATTGCAGTGCATATTGGAGATACCAGACACGGCTACTAGCCCACTCGCTGGAAGGCTGACTTTGGCACGGGCACGGAATTCTCCTCCAGTACCACGTGACTCGAGTGTCTGCTCCGCCACGTGGCCCCGGCCTCCCACCTCCTGTCTGACCTCCGAGGCCACACTGACCACTGTCCGTGGGAGTTATAACAGGCCACTGCCGCGCCGGCACGGCCCCCTGACCTCAGCGGTATGCGGTTTGGACGTTCTGTGGCTGTCTTACTGACGGTATATATGACCTTCACTGGACTCTGGCATCTGTCTAGACTCACGAATTGCCGATCAGGGTTCCTATGACCTTATGAACAGAACGGGTTTTCTATGGTAGAGATTCTTGTTGGTATCTCCATTGTTCATGGCCTCTGTGAGACATTTATGTTCCATCGTTTTGCCTTTATTTGTCCTTTACCTCTGTGGTTGCTGCATGGGTGTACCCCCGTGCGTACCCTGTCCCTGTATGTTTCCTTCGCCGCTGTTCTGGGCTCATTGGTCCCCTGCATGATCCATACCGCCTCCCTGTGACCCCTCAGTGACCCTCCGTGATCCGCTGTGCCCCTCAGGAGATCGACATCGGCTCGGTAGCCGAGCGACTAGAGTTCCGACGGCGGATGAAGTGCAAACCGTTCAAGTGGTACCTGGATAACGTGTTGCCGCAAAAGTTCATCCCAGACGAGAATGTGCAGGCCTACGGGCGGGTGAGTCGGGGACTGAGACTATCAGTCAACGTGATCAGTCGCGGCTCAGTTCAAGATGAGTCATTTGAATTTTTGCGATGAGGGTTTGATGTGGACGAAGTCGGAAATTATTTTTCATATCGTTGGCACGCCAATAAGCTCCTCTTTTGTTTCAATGCTACTTCGATTGGGATATTGTGTGCTGTAGGTGGAATATTTTGCTTAGTCGACATTCGCCAGATATTTGAACGATGAGCTGCACAAAGGGCGTATGACCTTTGCTATTTTTTGCTGCACTGGTCAGCAGCTGCTGTGTCGCAGTGGTTCCGGTCTGTTCTGTACCATGTACCATTGTTCACCAGCGGCCTATGTTGAGGTCGGCTGCTGTGTGTGTCGTGTCAGTCTGTGATCCCCCCCCCCCCCGCCCTGACTCCGTCCCCGACTGACGCCGGCGCGCGGCAGGTCACCTCTGTTATAGCGCCCCTGTGTCTGGACAATCTGGACAGGGAGAATGACAACGGCGACGCCTACCCCTTGGGCCTGTACGACTGTGTCAACGCCCCCTGGCGCAACGAGGTACCCCCGCCCCCATAGACAGGGCACGGCACGGGCGCACGGACACGGACGGACACGGCTACACCCCTCTCTCCACTCCCGGCACACCCCTCTGCCTAGTGTGGACTGGCCCCCTTCTCTGTTCTACTGTCGCCTCTACCCACCGACGAACAGCGGAGTTAGACGATCGCCCCTGGTGACACGGACATTGAATGTGGACGCAACCAAGGACTTTTGGGGACTTTGCACCACACCCGGACATTCTGGTGACCTTCCAGACTCTTACGCACCCTGGTGACATTCCAGACTCTTACGCACCCTGGTGACCTTTGGTGACCTTCGGTGACCCCTGGGTGACCCCGGGTGACCTGTCTCCCTCACTCTGGGCCTGTCACAGGTGGCGAGTAACAAAACGACGCCGCGCCTGTGTCTGGACATGCTGCAGAGGAACGAGGACTCGCCGTACAACCTGGGGGTCTACGTGTGCCACAACTACGTGGCCGCCTCCCAGGTGGCTGACACAACCTCCCACCCGCTGTCACGGCGCACTCATACACCTTCTGTCTGGTCTCATCCGTTTGGTAGCACATTGACGTGTTGGGAATGTTTCTTATCACGCATGGTTGGGCTATGGTTCTTGGCTGGATGGCACGAAGGATGCACTGCTCAGAAGGGTGTAATGTTGGTATGATTTGATGCATTATGTTGGTTATGCTGATTGCTGATTAAACCACCTGTCTGATTATTTCAGCTTCTAGTCACTCCGTTTTGCTATCATGTTCTGTCCCAAATATATATCGCCAACTTGCCAACCAAAATACAGCTTATTTGCTTTCAGCTAAGAGGTAAAAATTCGTACTCTTGTGGCTTGTTACGTCTCTCCCTTCCCGCCACTCCCCGCCCTGACCCTTGCTGTGTCGACCGCCGTCAGATGTTCTCTCTGAGTAACAAGGGCCAGCTGCGCCGCGAGGAGGTGTGTGCCACCGTCCAGCGGCGCTCCTCGCTGGTGATGATGACCCGCTGTACCAGCGGCGGCAGGGACCAGATCTGGACACTCGACCCGGTGAGAGCGCTGGCTGGGCTCGGTCGGCGGAGAGGGCAGGCTGGGCTCGGTCGGCGGAGAGGGTTGGGGCTGGTGAGAAGGGTCTGTGTGCCGGATCGCAATGGGTTTGGCGATTTTGTCTTGCAATGGGCTTGTGCTTTCTAGCCAGGGAAAGAATGGTAAAAGCGTAGACTTTTTGTGCAAATACATATGCATAAGTGTACAGTGGCCTGTGGTAAAATATATAATACGGGCAGCTGCAAGAATTGTATCTGTCGCATTGAACATTCTGGCTCTGGTACTTAGCATTTCGCCCGTCATTTCGCTGTAAATGCTCTATTCATTGTGTCTATGTAAGCTCCCTCAGTGACCTGACCCTGCGCCCCTCTCCTCCCCAGCGCGGCTACCTGCGACACGAGAGCACCGGTCTGTGTCTGGACCGAGAGGGCCTCAACTCGGGGGACGACGTGATGGCCACCACGTGCACCGGCCGGCTGGGACAGGTGTGGTACTTTGACACCGGCCGGACCGTGTGATAGGGACGACTCTAGACACCGACACACCGCCGCCGCCGCTGCAGCCGCCTCTGCTGCTTCTGGAGGTTCCTCCGTTACCAGCACTCAATGAGAAGACTCTATGGATTATCTGGGAAGATTGGCAGCCAGTTACCGGAGGTGTGCAGTGGAGTGGTGTGGTGAGTGGCGGGTGGGACTGCTCGCAGCACGCGGCCCGGTGATAAGCGGTGAACGGTGTGTGATGAAGTGACTGCGTGGTGAGGACTAGGAGCGGTGCTGTGTGGAGAGGTGGACCGCCCGGTTGGGAGGTTGCACCGAGCAATGGAGGTCGGTGAAGAGCGTGCATCGAGGCAGAACGGGGTCCTACAGGCGGCCCTACAGTGCCTGTGCCTATGGCGGGCGGGAGCGGCTGTCCGCCAACCCGTCCGTCTGTGGTGTGGGATCTGTTCACCTGGGAGCAGACTGCTCAGACCGGTCTGGGCCTACCCGCTGGACTGGACTGTCTGGTGTCAATCTAGACAGACTGAACGGACTGGCCAGGCCGGACTGGAAACTGGCCCAGGCTGGATTGCTCTGGAAGGTATGGTAATCAACTCAACCTCGTCAGTGCCTCTATCGGTGACGACCGGGGCGCCCAGCTCATCTCGACGACAATAACTCAGTATACCCAGCTTCATCTTCAGTACTGGACAACCCCCAGACCCTCCTGCCTTGTGATGTCCTCTGAAGCCAGCTCCTCGGCAAGTAGGTGGGACAGGTGCTACCTGGGCCATACCCCGGCTGGAGCCAGGGTCCGGTCGCCGCCGCCAGTGCCTCTCAGAGAACCGCGCTGACCAGTCTGCTGAGTGAGGAGTGTGGGAGTGTGACTGGAGTGCTCCGAGTTTACAATGAGTTAGATGAGCGAGTTCTCGACGTAAGTGCTCTGAGTTTCCTGAGTCCGTGTGTGTGTGTGTGTGGAGAGAGTTGACGAGAAGTTGTGACGTGGCAGGACCTGAGTATGCAGAACATCGCGATGCGCGAGAGTTCTTATTGGTGGAAGGAGGAACTTAGATCGAAGCCAGCGTGGCTTTAGGTCTGTGATTGATACAATTGGCTATTATATCAGCTGATAATGGTGGCTATCAGCCGCCGGACTTGTATCTAATATCTCTGGGCTGAGAGTAGTCGGCCCAAGCAATAAGGGGATGAATAAGACAGGATATAATTGTTATCAGTGATCGTGCACGCATTCGAGGAAACACGAGCGCCGTAGAATCATCTGATGAGCTTGTGTGGAGTCCCGAGTGACCCATTAGGCCCATAGTGACCCTAATTGACCCTTAAATGACGCGAATCCTGCCGGGGCTGAACCTGATGTGGTCTCGATATCTCTGTTGCATATTATCCGTGTGGAACGCTTTCCGCATTCCCGATCACATACTATGTAAGACAAGCGCCGGATGAAGTTGGTCCAGGAAATACCGATTGGATGTTCGTGGAATTACAATGAACTCCTGGAACCAGTTTGCATGCTACTATTGGCTGGGCCCGCACTGAATTGATTTCGCTTGTCCCGCGTGGTTTCGCGATGTTTTGGGGAGGACTCGAATGACGCTACCGATAGCGTGTGGCGTGTTGTTGCCTGTATGTCCCCCTGGGCCCCTGGCAGCTGCGTGGCGGTCTGCTGTGTTATTTATGGCCTCGAGACGGGCCGAGGGACTGAGATCGAGCAGCCGGACTGCAGTGAACTCACGAATGGGGCGTCTGTGAGCGACTCTGCGCGTTTGCGGGACCGGCCGCGCCCGGCAGTGATATAGGGTCACTAGGGCGGTGTTTCATTCCTAGCACGTGTCACATATCGACTGAGAGCCGTCCAGAGGCAGTTACCGCCGGCAGGGCGGACCGCCGCGTCCGGCACCTACTCACCGTGGCCGTATTTTTCTATGGAGAGAGAGACAGAATACATCAGTTTGTAGGAGAATACAGTGTATATTGATAATTTGAGTCATCGAGCGAGTCGCGTGTTCCATGAGCGAGACGTGGAGCAAAAAGCTGGCACAGATGTACGGCGAACAGAAGACCGCGTAGAGCGAGGACAACCCCGGCTATGTACAGAACAATACACGGTGCTGCGGGGCGCGCGACCAACAAAACACGTCACACGGGAATGCTATATCCAGAATCCAGAGCCCGCCATCGCAGGGCCCGTCGGCCCCGACAACGCCTCCAGAAGCACACATACAGAGGCGACGCTATTTCCAAACACACGCACACAGAGAACAAAAACGCACACGCACATTCACTCACACTTCGAGCATCCAGACGCAGTGCGGCTGGCAGGCAGTCTCCACACACGTCCTGTACAACGCCGAACCGGACACCAATTGATCAACCTAGCACTGTCGGCGGGAACGGTCGGCCGGGCGCGTCTCCCGACCTCTGAGTGTCCGGCGGTCCGGCCTCACTCGTCGTCAGAGCCGTCCGCCTCGTCACTCTCCCCCTCCCCATCCTCCTCCATTTTCTCATCAGCCTCCTCCGCCTTCTCCGCCGACTGATCTCCCTCTCCCTTCTCCTCACCCTCCTTGTTGTCCCCCTCCTTCTCCTCCTCATCCTCGGACTGGAGCTCGACCGTGTTGTCGGCGGTGGCCGGCTCGCTGTCGCTCAGCTCCACTACGCTCGGGTTACGCCGCCTCTCGCCGGCGGCCCGCTCGGCTCTCCGTCGCTCCGCCACCGAGCGCGGCGCCAGCCGGGCGCGCCGGCGCCGGCGCGCGCTCGCCGGACCCATGAACGGCTTGGGTTTGCGCACGGTCACCAGCCGGCGGGGCCGCGCCGCCGCGATCGGGGTGATGGTGATCTCCTTGTTCAGTTTGCTGAGCGCGCTGCCGCCGGAGGCGGAGGAGGCGCCGCCGGCCGCGCCCTCCTCTGTGTCGCTCACCTCCACCTCCACCTCGCTGTCCGACTCCTCGGCGGCGGCGGCGGCGCGACGGCGCAGCTGCTCGCGGATCTCCTCCGTGACAAACGCGGCGCACTCGGGGTCGCGCAGCAGCGGCGTGAATTCGACCTCTGGCCGGCCCAGGTGGTGGCGCCGGTAGTGCTCGGTCAGAGGCCGCGGCAGCGCGCGGTGCTCGCAGAGCTCACACTCGCGCTCCACGGGCGCCGGCGCCGGCTCCGGCCGCCGCCGCTTCACCGGCGTCGAGCTGACCTGGGACGCGCCCTTCCCCGCGCCGCCAGAGCCCGGGTGAGGTATGATGGTAATCTCGTCGTTTATCTTGATGGGCTGCCCGGTGGCGGCGGCGGCGGCGGCTGCCTTCTTGCGGTCGGACGATTCCATTATTTTCTTGGCGACGACTGAGTGCGAGCTATAGACGTGGTTTTCAAACTGTTTATACATGCTGAACGTGGCCGTGCAGACGGTGCACTTGTAGGAGAGGTGCGCCGGCTTCAGGGTCACGTGGTGGTCCTTGGAGACGTGGTGCAGCAGCTTCCACTGGTACACCTGACGAGTACAGAAAAAAGACACGTCACGGATAAATCCCCAGTAATGAATACGTGCAAACCCGCATGACTGGGAAGTTTACAGAAAGCAAGTCTAAGGAACCGGAGTGCGTGTCCCTCTATTTCGAGTCTACCTGACCTCCCCGGCCTTCAGATGTCTATCTTATCCTCCGACCCTTCTCCCTGTCCCTCCCTCCCCCATACGTCCCCTCCCCACATCCCTATCCTCTACCCTACAACCTCCCGTACCTTTCCACAGATGGGGCACCGGCCGCTGTCATGTCCCTTGTTGGCCGCCTCCTGCATGCTGCTGGTGACCAGCCCGTGCGAGCCGAGCAGGTGCCGCTCCAGGCCCTGGTCCGTGAAGAAGCGCAGCTGACACTTTTGGCAGTTGAGCGGCGGCCGGTTGTAGATCATCTTCGGGTGGATCTTCACCTTGTGGATCCACTGCATGTGGTTACGCAGCTGCTCCAGGTCCTGAGGACGGGATAGGGGGTCAGTCACGGACAAAATATCACACACATTTAAATCGTGCATTATTTCACTTCGATTTGTATACTTTACGTAGCTAGCTTTGAAAACGAGCGTGCGCACAATATGACAAAGGGAATATGCGCAAATATCTAATCCACCAATGAACAAACGAACATTACATTGCTTTTTCAGTTCCAGAAAACCGACAACGCATAGCAACAGACCTGCGATTACCCCATCAGGAAGCCCGTGACTGCTTCTACATCAATTTTTCAGTTCCGTACCTTGATGTAGCCGTCGCAGATCTCGCAGATGACGAAGGCGCCCTTGCTGAGCGCGGCCGGGTCGGGCCGCGCGCCGCCCACGGTGCCCTTTGTGATGGAGAGCTGGGAGCCGGGCGCGGCGGGCGACGTGCGCAGGATGGACGGCACGCTGGGCGGCAGGCTGGGCCGCGGCACCGGCGTGATGCTGATACTCGGCGTGGAGGAGAGCTTCAGCGCCGCCGCCGCCACCGTCTGAGAGGGAAGAGGGTTAGGCTCAGCATAGATGGCGGGTAAGCGTAGGTTGGTGCCGGTTAGAGGTTGAACCATACCGGTTATTCAAACCCCTATAGCGACAGAACAAAGAGAAGGTTATGTCCTTCATTGGTGCTCCTTTTCCGTCTATATTACGCCATGCAGTTTTCCGTTGTAAGTCACGTAGTAAAGGTGATGGATATAAATCATGATCAGCTTACGATTCAAGCAAATGAATGGAGGCCGCCACAGCTCGTATAGATGTCGCCCCGGTTCCCCCGTCGCCACCGTTCTCCCTCCCACAGCCAGTGACCCACCTTGGCCGACGACGTGGCCTGGATGCTGAGCCCGGACGGCGCCGGCGGACCTGATGACGGGATGATCTGCACCCCCGAGCCGCCGCCGCTGCTGGCAGCGCGCGTCGCCGGGTTCACCGGTACCAGCTGGTTGTTCACCAGCTGAAACGGAGGACCACAACGCTGGGTTAGGTAACCACACAACGGCGGAATATCGGAGAACGAGCGACGGTGAATAACACTGTCCTTTTACAAAGCAATACTGCACCGAACCATGGATGGTGTTCCTAAAAAAAAACTTCGCTGACTGGTATCGTTATCGACTGCCTGACTTAATCGGAGACGTTCACATCGGCGGCTGAGCCGGGAAAAATAAGGCAGCTGTCGAGACGGTCCTTCGTTCTTATCATTCGATTCAGTCGCGGAGACCCACATCCCAAACCAACACCGCTACATGCACACCCCCAAGTCTAACAAAACCACTAGGCATACCCACTTATCACATAAAACCTGGTCATTATCAAATACACGTGAGCTACCCCGCCACACAGGGCTCAGCCCGAGTGCCCTCTACGTCCGGCGCGGTGTGCCGTACCTGATAGATCTGGTTGCCGATCTGGTAGTGGGGAGGCATCAGCATCTGGCTGCCAGAGGCCGGTGGCCGGATCATGGACGAGTTCATGCCCGGATTCACGCTCGTGACGAAGCCTGAAAGAAGAGAGACGTTATAGAGAGACGGCACGGTGCAGGCACGGAGGGAGCCATGGGGAGGCACGGGGGGTCAAGTACCAAACAGCAGCAGTGCAATGACTCTGACGACTCACAGTGGAACTATGAGCTGGATACGACGGCTAAAATGAACACCTTCATTCTTCAAATATTTCAAAAGATAAAACATGTTATTAAGAGCCCATTGAAGTTCGCTCCCGGACTTTCCAGTGCACCACCTGACTACACAAACCAGATGTGTAAAGGAAATTGTTAGGCGTACAGACAACGTTCGGGCTCCCACACCAAGTGACAACTAAGTGAACACAGAGGAGGACCTGAAGAGATCTCCGGACAGGCCATCAGAGTTCGGGCCGCTGATGGGAACTCACCGGCCTGCCGGTTGTACTGGTGCCGCTGCTGCAGTGACAGCGGCACGCCGTCCTTGTACGAGCCCACCGGACGGCCGCGCCGAGCGCTGGCCGCTATCGCCGCGGCCGCCGCCAGCTGCTGCTGCTGCTGTTGTTGCTGCTGCTGCTGCTGCTGCTGCATAGCCAGTTTGGTGCTCTGCTGAATACCCCGCACCGGCTCGAACTGTTTGCCGAGCACGTTGGGTCGCCCGCGGTGGATTTTGGGCACCTTGGCCGGCGGCACCCAGTCGTCCAGAGACTGGTTCTTCTCGATGCGGAACTTCTTCTGGCACGAGTTGAGATGGCGCGTCATGCGCGTCTTTCCCGAGTCCTCGTACGGGCAGAGCGGGCACTGGAAGGAGGCCGGCGCGCGCTCCAGCCGGCCCTGCACGCTGTGCTCGTCCATCATATGTGAGAGCACCACCTGCGGCGAGCGCGTCTCGTAGTCGCAGAAGTTGCACTGGTAGATGCTGCCCACCATGTGCGGCATCTCCAGGTGGCGCTCCATCACCAGCACCGACTCCGTCTCGAACGCGCAGTAGCGACACTGCGTCATCTTCAGCCGGAACGGCGCGTTCCGGCGCCGAGACGCCGCCAGGTTGGCCGTCAGAGACTTGATGGCGAACCGGGTGGCCTCGCTGCCGCCGCCCTTCTCGCGCGACGCCTTGCGCTTCTGCTGCTTCAGCAGGTCCTCCTTGATGAACTCCTCGACGATGCCGCGGCCCTGGTCGAGCAGCAGCTGGCCCACGGGGCCCTGGTAGTAGTAGGCCCACTTGCCCAGGTGGCTGAAGTCCTCCTCCCGGCGCAGCGGGTCCGGCTTGTTCTCCTTGTTCGGATCCTGCTCCTTGTCGCCGCCGCCCTCCTCGTCCTTCTTGGAGTGGTCGTCGCTGCCCGCCTCGCTCTCCGGCTTGCTGGCGTTGCCGTTCACCTTGCCATCCCCGCCGTCCTTTTTGTCCTTCTCCGCCGCCGCTGCGTCCGCCTCCTTGGTGACCCGGGTCATGAACTGTTTGACCGTCTCCTCGGGCGGACTCTCCATGACGTACGGTACTATGAAGCTGGGCGCCTCCAGCACAAACTCTGTGT